GGAATACTCCCAAACTCATTTTAGAAGGCCAGCATCAGTCTAATACCAAAACCAGAGACAATACAAAAAAAGAAAATTGCAGACCAATAATATCCTTGATGAACATAGATGTAATTATCCTCAACAAAATATTAGTAAACCAAACTCAAAAATACATCAAAAGGATCATCTATCATGACTAAGTGGGATTTATTCCAAGGACGCAAGAATGGTACAGTATTTATAAATCAATCAATGTGATACATCACCTTAACAAAAGTGAGGATAAAAATCATATGATCATCTCAATAGATACTGAAAAAACATTAGCAAAATTCAACATCCATTCATGATAAAACCCTCAACAAAGTGGGTACAGAGGGAACATACCTCAATATAATAAAGGCCATATGTGGCAAATGCACAGCTAACATTATTCTCAATGGTGAAAAGCTGAAAGCTTTTCTCTGAGTTCAGAGGCAAGGCAAGCTTACCCACTCTTACCACTTTTATTCAATGTAGTACTGGAAGTCCTAGCCATGGCAGTCAGACAAGAAAGAGACAAAAGGCATCCAAACTGGTATAGAGGAAGAAGTGTAACTGTCACTATTTGCAGATAACATGATACTTTATATAGAAAACCCTAAAGACTCCATCAAAAATACCATTAGAACTAACAACTGGATTCAGCAAAGTTGCAGGATACAAAATCAACATACAGAAATCTGTTGCACTCCTATATACTAACAATGAACTAGAAAGAGAAATCAGGAAAACAATTGCATTTACAATCACATCAAAAAGAATAAAATAACTTGGAGTAAACTTAACCAAGAAGGTGAAAGACCTGTACTCTGGAAACTATAAGACACTGATGAAAGAAATTGAAGAAGACACAAATAAATGGGATCTATCCCATGCTCATGGAGAAGGAGAATTAATATTGTCAAAATGGCCATCCTTCCCAAATCAATTTACACATTCAACGCAATCCCTATCAAAGCACCAATAGCATTTTTCAGTGAACTAGAACAAATAGTTCTAAAATTCATATGGAACCACAAAGACCCCAAATAGCCAAAGAAATCCTGAGAAAGAAGAACAAAGCCGGGGGTATTATGCTCCCTGACTTCAAGCTATACTACAAAACTACAATAATCAAAACACAAGAACAGACCCATAGATCAATGGAACAGAAAAGAGAGCCCAGATATAAACCCAAGCATATATGGTCAGTTAATATACAATAAAGGAGCCATAAATATACAATGGGGAAAAGACAGCCTCTTCAACAACTGGTGTTGGCAAAACTGGACAGCTACATGTAAGAGAATGAAACTGGATCACTGTCTAACCCCATACATGAAAGTAAATTCGAAATGGATCAAAGACCTGAATGTAAGTCATGAAACCATAAAACTCTTAGAAGAAAACATAGACAAAAATCTCTTGAATATAAGTATGAGAAATTTTTTCCTGGATGCATCTCCTTCGTCAAGGGAAACAAAAGCAAAAATGAACAAGTGGGACTACATCAAACTAAAAATCTGTACAGCAAAGGACACCAGCAGAACAAAAAGACAATCTACAGTATGGGAGAATATATTCATAAATGATTCATCTGATAAGGAGTTAACATACAAAATACATAAAGAGCTCATATGCCTCAACACCAAAAAAACAAATAACCTGATTAAAAAATGGGCAGAGGACCTGAACAGACATTTCTCTAAAGAAGAAATATGGAGGCCAACAGGCCCATGAAAAGGTGCTACACATCGCTAATCATCAGGGAAATGCAAATTAAAACCACAAAATATATTACCTCACACCAGTCAGAATGGCCACTATCCAAAGACAAGAAATAACAAGTATTGCCAATGTGGAGAAAAGGGAAGTCTCCTACCCTGTTGGTGGGAATGTAAATTGGTGCAACCACTATGGAAAGCAGTATGGATTTTCCTCAAAAAACTAAAAATAGAAATACCATATGACCCAGTAACTGTACATCTAGGAATTTACCTGAAGAAAACAAAATCTCTGATTGGAAAAGATAGATGCACCCCTGTGTTCATTGGCACATTATTTACAGTAGCCAAGATATGGAAGCACCCAAAGTGTCCATCAGCAGATGAATGGATAAAGAAGAGGTGATATATATACACAATGGAATACTATTCAGCCAAAAAAATGAAAGAAATCCTGCCATTTGTGACATGTGGTTGGACCTAGAGGGTATATCATGCTCAGTGAAATAAGTCAGGTGGATAAAGACAAATACCGTATGATTTCACTTACATGTGGAATCTAAAAACAAAACAAAATGAACAAAACAGCAGTAGACTCACAAATACTCAGAAGTGACCAGTGGTTACCACCAGGGAGGGATTAGGGTGGGTGGGTGAAGTGGGTGAAGGGGGTAAAGAGGCACAAAAATCTTAATCATCATATAAATCAGTCATAGGAGTGAAAGTACAGCATAGAGAATATTTAGTCAGTAGTTCTGTAACATCTTTCTATGTTTACAGATAATAACTATACTAGCTGGGGTGAGGATTTAATAACATATGTAACTGTTAAATCACTGTGTTATATACTCAAAACCAATATATTTTTATCAACTATGCATCAATAAAATATATTAAAAATTAATAACCATTGTTTGACATATGCTGTTACCTTTAATGATGATGAACTGAGGCAAAGTTGAACATATCCTATTAAGTATTAAAACCAACCATAACTTTATGGAACTAGATAGAGGTAGTGGTTGCACAACACTGTGACTATACTAAATGCCTCTGAATTGTTCACTTTAAAATGGTTAATTTTATGTTAGGTGAATTTCAGTTGAATTCTTAAAAATCCAACTGTAAAACGAAGGCAATAGAATAGCACAGTTACATTGTAGGGAGAGACTAATAAACCAGTGTAACATTGAAGACTGCTATCGGAAAAATTTGTATTGCTAAAAGGAAAAACTGTATGCTAGATTTCTCCTTCAGAACCTACATGAAAACAAACAGCAAATGGTTTAAAGACATATACATGAAAGGTAAATTTACATAGTTTCCATATTCAAAGAAAATGGAAGGAACTGTAGAGCTGGAAGATTTTCTTAAACAAGACCCCCAAAAGGCAAACCATAAGGAGAAAGATTTAAGGATTTTATCCTATCAAAATTAATTATTTCTGTTCAGCAATAAACATCATGTACAAACTAATAGATGTCATTATACAAACAGTCTATAACTGGTGTATTAGTGTCCTATTCCTGCTGTTAACAAATTACCACAAACTTATTGGCTTAAACCACAAAAATTTACCGTCTTATAGCTCTGGAGCTCAGAGGTCCTGAATGGTTTTCACTGGGTTAAATCCAAAAAAGCTCTATATTCATACATGAATATCATTTGCAGCATTATTAATCTCATATATAAATACTACATATAGTAGATTATATGATACTATACACTTTATATAGTATAGTATATAATAGTATATTGGTTATAAAGGAGAAAATAGACACATTTAACTTCCCTGGGTAAAAAATTAGTCTTTAACCAGATATCTACTTTGTGAACACAATTAATATTAAAATAGAACTATTTATTTTTCTTCACAAATAACTAATTTCTTGTACATCACAAAGATAAAAATTTTTTTATAATGAGTTCAACTGTGTGAAAAATTTAACCTTATATACAGTCATACCTTGGAGATATTGCAGATTCAGTTCCAGACCACTGCAATAAAGCAAATATCAAAATAAAGAATTTTTTGGTTTCCCAGTGCATGTAAAAGTTGTGTTTACATTATACTGTTGTCTATTAAGTCTGCAATAGCATTATGACCAAAAAACAATGTATATGCCCTAATTAAACATATTTTATTTCTAAAAAATATGCTAACCATTATCTGAGCTTCAGCAAGTCATAATCACTAATCACATCACCATGAATATAATAATAATGGAAAAGTTTGAAACACTGTGAGAATTACCAAAATGTGACAAAGACATGAAGTGAGCAAATGCTGTTGGGAAAATGTCACTGATAGACTTGCTTGATGCAGGTTTGCCAGAAAGCTTCAATTTGTAACAAACACAGTATCTGAGACAGAGGCACAGTAAGGTAAAGTACAATAGAATGAGGTGTGCCTGTATACCGAGGAAAATGTGCTGTTATTTGAATAAACTACACCAGATAACTTCATAATGCCAGGTGACAGATAGAATATTTAGGAGTTAGAAGTAAGTCTTAACTATCCTGTCCCACTCACCCACCCCTCCAAAAGCCATACATTCAACATGTAATCCATATAAAAAGTGATTAATAAGAACATTTACATTCTTTTTTTAAAATTCTAAGTCTTTGGACCCTGGTGAGGTTTGTCAGTTGGGACTAGCTATATTTCAAATGCTCAATAGCCACATGTGGCTACCAGCTACCATATTGGTCAGCAGTTTTAGGCAAAGAAGGAAGTCAACAGAATATAAGAAAGGGACTTCAGGGAAGACAGGAAGGTGGAAGTGAGACTGCACCAGGTTATTAAAAAATACCAGAGATTCTGAAAAGGTGAGCAGTAATTAACTTTTAAGCATAGGTGAAGGGACTAACTTCAGATTAGAGGTAAAATTCTCCTTTCATTATAACAAGAGGAAAGAAATAAAGAATAGGTCCAGACACAGGGTCCTCAGCTAATGGATTCTGTTTTCTTTGGGGAGTAACAAGTACATGAGGGTGATAGGAGAAATGGAGTTTGAGGATTTTTCAAGCAGATGTGAAAGACTATGAGAGAAAGTATCTGAGGAATCTCTTCAGAGAGTGGTTCAAGTGATGGACTTTAAAATGTACTTTGAAGTGGAAATGAAGTGAAGACAAGAGAGGTCCAATACAGAGAAAGCAGATGTGACAGTTTCCAACCAGGTCTGGGGCCCATCTTGGGACTCATTGGTTAGAGAATTGGCAAAACAGGAAATTACAGCGAGAAAGTAAGATGAGTGAATTTATTGTTTACAGAGTCGAACAATTTTGGTGATGACAGTTCCCAGGTGTTGGTGATGAAAAACCAGCATGGAATGGGTTCTGGATTGGAGTGGATGGGAGAGGCACTGCAGATGAGGAAGATAAGCAGCCCCAAAGCCACGGTAAAGGAGGGCTCGTCCATGCGAACCTGGGAGCTGCAGGGTGATGGCGGAACTTGGAATGAAGAGGACAACTGTAAGCCCAGGGCTGTCACAGTGATGGAGAGATGGCAGTCAGGAAGTCTGTGCGTGACAGCAACATGGAAGGGTAAAAGTTGGTGTAGGCAGGTGGTTTAAACCTAAAAGGAGTAGGAATTTCTACATGGGGGTGATAAGCGAGATCTGGAGGTGGAATTTGGGAGCGCCAAGAACACTAGCCTTAAAGACCATCTAGTTAAAAGACCTCACTCTACAGATGGAGAAACTGAGGTCAGAGAGTATGGCAAATAGCGTCCAAAATGTTCTCCGGTAATCCCACCTTTTGGTATTCACACCCTTGTGTAGTCCTCTCCCACAGTGACCAGCGTTAGTTTGCATGAATGGTAGCAGAAGAGATGGTATGTTGTTTCCAAGATGAGCTTGTAAAGCACATTGCAGTGCCTGCCTAGTCACTTCCTCACTTTTGAATCACCCACTTTAGGGGAAGCCAGCCGCCATATGACAGGCAACTGTATGGAGAAGCCCGCAACGTGAAGAGCTGAAGCCTCTTGCCAGGGCACGTGAGTAAGTACAGAAGCAGAGCCTCCAGCCCCAGCCGAGCCTTCAGATGATGGCTGACATCTTGATTGTTATCTCATAAGAGTCCCTGATCCAGAGCCTGAATCCTGGACCCCTAATCTACACAAACTAACATGTTTGTTGTTTTAAGCCACTAAGTTTGAGGTAATTTATTAAGCAGCAAAAGATAAATAAAACTGAGACTATTTGTAACTTACTTAAAGTCACAAAGCTAGTTAGTGGCCAATTTAAAATGAGAACATGGGCTCCTGACTCTCAACTCAGTGTTCTGTTAGATCATGCTGTGTTCTGGCATATCTTGGACCTCTTTTGTATTAGACGCACATGCACTGAGGAGGTACTGGCAACTAACAGAAACTTTAATGGATGATAGTTCTGTTTTCTCATAGGCAAAATAAAATGAAAACTGGACCATGCTTCCTCATGGAGTCAGAATAAGATTCAGCAAGGTAACTATTCTCTCTTTCTTTATGTAAAAATACCTAAGCATTTCTAAAACATGCTTACATCTTTTTGCCATAGTTTTGGGAAGGTTTGAGAGGACTAATTCAAATTTGTGTAATAGCTTAGTGGTAAAACCAGGAATGTAATTTCTACTTGGTTTCTTTTAACCTCTTGACAAGTATGACATAGACTACTCAATAGTGGTTATAGCATTTAAATACTTAAATAACTTTGACCTTCCTGTACAGTGAATCAATGACAGGATCTAATGTCTGCATTTCCATCTGTTGTCTCTAAATGTAATATTCAGAAAAGGGCAGATTGCCACAAAGGCACTTTGTGGCTTCTATTTCCATGGCATAGAGCCTGCTATTTGAATGTGCATGACTATTATGTCAGAGAAATTTTGTGTGACCTGCTGACTTATGGTTTGAGATTCAGTTTTTAAAAATGTGACTAAATAGCATTTAATCCAACACCTTTGAGAGGAATGGAGAGGGTGTCAGAACAGGCATTGAGAGCCTTTATACTGCAGGGAAGGTCTGGCCCAGGTGAAGGACAGGTGGAGGGCAGGCAGGTTGGATGGAGGAGTCTGAAACTGCAGTTCAGTTCCAGCAAAGTTTGGCAAAGCCAGTTCAGAGCCTTTGAACTGAAGTCGCCCATCAGAGAAGTGCTCCCAGGAATGGGCTGCCCTAGTGTCCATGGTGGGGCCATCATTAGCTGGAAGTAGTCCTTGCGAAGTGTGGTCTCAGCATGAACACAGGGATGGTATCAGTGCAGCAGCTGGGACCACCAGTCAGTCAGCCTCCTGCACCGGGAGATCTGAGCAGCAAATGGTCATTACAGAGACTTTTGCCATAATCCAGGTTAGAGACATCATGGTGGCTTGAGTTAAGGAAATAGATGGATTTAGGCTACATAGTCATCTGGACATATCCTGAAGGTCAAATAGACTTCATTTGCCAATAGATTTGATTTGGGGTGTGAGGGAGGGAGAAGAAACAAAGATGGACCAAAGACTTTTGTTCTGAGTAACAGAAGAAGGGCGTTGCCATTTATTGAGAGAGAAGACTGGGAGTCCTGAATGGGGGAATCAGCCATTCCTTCGACCATATTTAGTTTGAGATGTTGATTAGCTTCCAGTGGAGATACTGAGAAGGCAGCTGAATAGATGAATTTAGACTTTAAGGAAATATTCCAACTCAGAAATACAAATTTGAAGATCAACATATGAGCAGCATTTGAAGTCATGGGACTGGATTAGTTTACCTAAGGAACATATATATAGATGGAGAGGAGAGGTTCAAAGCCTGACGAGGAGATAGAACCCAAAAAAGACTAAAGAAAAAGTGACCAGTAGGAGGTAGGAGGAGGCTCACAGAGCAGCAGTGTCCCAGAAGCCAAGTAACGTTTTGTGGAAGTATAGATTTTCAGTATTCTATTTCTTAAATCTTGATATGTATTAAATGGACATTCTATGAAGTTTATTGGTGTCTTGATAAATGGACCTACTAAATAATAAAGAAGAAAATAAAGCTTATAAGAATACTGACCATGTGCCCAATTGAAAAACCTGCCTCCACCATTCACTGTGTCGTTGGGCAAGTTTCTCCACCTCTAATTGCTTCTGATTTCTCATTTCTACAGGGATGATAGAGTTGTTAAGAGGATCCAGTGAGTTACTAGTTGTAAATGATTATTGGGATAGTACCTGACACATGATAAGTGTTCAATAAATATGATGTATTATTACATAGAAACATTGAAATGAAAGATAAATTTTACTATCAAGTTTTCTGATGGTAGCAGCTAAGATGTAAGAGTTGAATGTAGATCTTTTCAGATATCATTTCTCTGACTGGGATTCTGATGTACTTGTTTTTTCTTAAATATCTCTCTTCGTATATTTTTTTTGTCTTCTATATTTTGAAACAAAAGTGCTTTAAAAAGTCTGCACAATTCCTTGTCTTGAAATTTTTTTTTACCAGTTACCAGCAGAAGCTTCTTTAAGCAAAGCATGCTGGCTAGATAAATAATTTCAGAAAAG